GAGGTGGGGGTCCGGGGCCGTCCGCCATCTTTGTTTGACCTCCTCAGAGACAAAGCTTTTATCCGGTTTCTGCTCTGTTCCAGATCTCTGAGTTTAAAGTTTAAAAACCAGACTTTGTCCTGGTTCTGGTAGTTTTTTTTCTTCTTCATAGGATTAAATAAGTATCAAAATCAAATATGCTTAATAGTATAGATTAGTTTTGAGGTAGAAACTAAATGTTTTTGTGTTCTTCCACCTTTGATGTGCTCCTTTTTCTTAGATGAACGCACATTTTGCTTTGATCTTTTGCTTTGATAAGTTTAAAAACCAGATCTGTTATCCCTCCAGTGATTGGTCGATGGCCCGGGTGCAGTACCCGCCCCCCCAGAGCTGGCGTCCTCAGCTCGGCCAATCGGCGACGGCGCTGGTCCCCCCGCGCGTCATGGGCCGCTCGCCCCGGCCAATCAGCACGCTGCAGGAGGTGACCTCTGAGGACGAGGACCGTGAGCGCCCCCCGGAGGCGCCGCGCGCCGCCACGCCCCACTTCCTGTCTCCGCAGCCCGCCCCCCGCCAGCGCTCCTTCTCCTGTACCCAGCATGCTTTGCAGCGCCGCTCCGCCGGCCCCCAGCCGGAGCCCAACTACCTGATCGTCACGGACAGGGTTGGGTCAGGCGAGACCTCAGAGCGGGCGCCGGTGGTGGTGTTAGCTCCGCCCCCTCCGGACGCCGTTCAGCACGCCGTTATCCAGAACGAACGCCACCCGCCCGGGAACGCCGTTATCCAGCCCGGGAACGCAGACCCCCCCCAGGCGGCGCCTGGCGGCGAGCAGAAAGCCAGAGGAGAGAGGTTGAATAATGGCGCAGACTCCAGGCAGACAGCGCTGTGAGGGGGGGGCAGGGTCAGTTGGGTTTGGGGGCGGGGTCAGTCTGGTTGAATTGAATTGAATTTGAATATTGAATTTCAGGTCAGTCGGGTTTGAGGGGCGTGGTCAGTCGGTTAGGGGGGCGAAGGCTATCTGATTGGGGGCGGGGCCATGTAGGTTGATGGGCGGGGTCAGTCAGGTTGGGGGGCGTGGCCAGGCGGATTGAGGGGCGGGGTCAGTATTGTTGGGGGCGGGGTTAGGCGGGTTTGGGGGCGTTGTCAGTCGATTTGGGGGCGGGGGCAGTTGGGTTTTGGGGGGCGGAGTCAGTTGGGTTGGGTTCTTTCTTTCCCCCTTTTTCTCTCCTGGAGGTTAATATGTGTTTAAATATTCTCTGCTTAGTCGAATATTAAAACAAAAAGAAGAGATCCTGTTTAAATGAATGCAATAAAGTTAGTTTTCTTACATTTGATGTAGATTTTCTAAACTGTGTGAGCTCAGTCCTTTTGGAAATAAACTGATATTCGTCCCTAACAAGGAGAAAAACCTTTGAAACTTCTTTGAATCTGGAAAACCAAAGAAGCCTGTTGTTTTAATGCTGTTTATCCTCCCAAATATCTGACTTTTAGCTCAATATTCTCCCTTTTGGAAATCTTTTTTCCCTCTTTTTCTCTCCAGGAGGCCAATATGGGTGTAAATATTCTCTGCTCAGTCCAATAATAAAACAAAAAGAAGAGATCCAGTTTAAATACATATTTAAATACTACACATTTAAATACTAAACTGTGTGAGCTCAATATTTTTGGAAATAAACTGTTATTCGTCCCTAACAAGGAGACAAACCTTTGAAACTTCTTTGAATCTGTAAAACCAACAGAAGCCTGTTGTTTTAATGCCGTTTCTCCTCTCAAATATCTGACTTTTAGCTACATAAGCTGCTCTGATTTCAGTTTTTGGGGGTTTTCTGAGCAACATTTTACCTGTTTAACCTCCTGAGAGCGAAGCTTTTATCTGGTTTCTGCTTTGTTCCAGATCTCTGGATCAGTAGAAGTTTAAAAACCAGACTTTATCCTGGTTCAGGTCGTTTTTCTTCATAGGAAAAGAATAAAATATGCTTAATAGTATCAATTAGTTCTGAGGTAAACTAAAACGTGGTGTTCTTCTAGCTTTGATGTGCTCCTTTTTTCTTAAATGAACCCAAATTTTGCTTTGATCTTTTGACCTTTTTTGTTTTAATGCTGTTTTCCTCTCAAATATCTGACTTTTTGGACAGATTATTTCCCCCTTTTTCTCTCCTGGAGGCCAACATGGGTGTAAATATTGTCTGCTTAGTCGAATATTAAAACAAAAAGAAGAGATCCAGTATAAATGAATGCAATAAAGTTACTTTTCTTACGTTTGATGTATATTTTCTAAGCCGTGTGAGTTCAATCCTTTTGTAAATAAACTGTTTTTCGTCTCTAACAAGGACACAAACCTTTGAAATTCTTTTGAATCTGAAAAAAACAAGAGAAGCCTGTTCCTTATCTGAGAGAAGGAGAGCTGGAAGAGGAAATCCTTGTTTTAATTCGTGGATTTTATAATTCAAATAGAATCTTTTTAAGAAGATATATTCCATGTTCTGATCAAAGGACTCACCTGGAAGATGTTTCCTGGATAAAATATCAGAAATATCTCTTATTTAAAGTAGAACTTATCAGCTCCTGACTCCAAAATGTTCCTTTGAAGACATTTAAATGACTGTAGTCTCCATTACGCACCCCCCCCCCCCCCCCCCCCCTCCCTTTGAAGGGGGATGGGGCGCGTGCAACTGCCCCAATAGCCGTGAGGAGCACGCGACCTCTGGAAGGTGTCGCCAGCTCGCGCGAGGCTCATTTGCACGTGACAGACATCCGCCGGACAGGTGTGAAGCCCAGACGTGCGCACGCGACTTTTGACGCCTCCGTGCGACCCCCCGCGTGTCCGCGGGCACGCGCCTCCACCCGGAAAGGGGGGGGGAGGGGGGGGTTCGTAATGGAGACTACAGTCATTCAAATGTCTTCAGACGGACATTTTGGACTAAGGAGCTGATAAGTTCTACATTAAATAACAGATATTTCTGATATTTTGTCCAATAACCAAACGAGCCGTAAAAAACTAGAAGGGTATAGCTGCTCCCAACTTTTTCTAACTGGTTTAAGAAAGTTCAGATATCCAACTGATGGTTCCAAACGTTTTATTACAGGATTTTCCGTCATACAAACGCCCAAGACCACCGTGAACACTGCTAAATATGGAAAATATTAATCAATATTCATCAATTAAACCGTCATGTTACCTTACATGAATTATCAAATGAAACTTATTCAACAAAATATAAATTCTCTAAGTTGTCCATACCGTATGCCCCTCCAATCAGAAGGTTAGGAGTTGCTAGAAGTCCATTTCTTCCATTTTTTTAGTCCTTTGCCTTTACTCTTGAACACGCAGACTAATTATAAACAAACTCAGAACTTCCTATCAAAGGCATCACGTGATCAAGCGAAGACCCAATCGGTGACGTCTCCATATGACATTGTTACAATATTTTCCCAAAGTATGTACATATTAATCGAAAATACACAAAGATGTGATATATATATTAAAAGTTAAAACATATTCACATTCACAAAATAAAATTAATTCACACAGAAAAAATGCTTATGAAACTGCGTTCGCTACAAAGGGGACACACGTTTTGTTTCTTAAACAGACGCGTAAAAGCTGTTCCTTTCTAATTTACTTCCGGGTTTAAATCTAAACCGATTAAAAAATTTCCTTTTTTAAAAACATGGCCTCTCAAACTTTGTTTTATTCACATTTTAAATGAATCAGAAACTCTTAGCTCGTGCGTAAAGCAGCTGATTGGAGCCACGTATTTATTCCAATAATAAAGTTAAACCTGAGTTACGTCTCCTGGGGAGTTTTTTTTAAGGGAGGATTTGTTTTTTTGCATCGAACTACGAATTTATCCTCGACCCTTCAAAAAATCCACCATGAAATATTTATTATTAGTGACTTTAAATGAGGTTTTTGAGGTTTTTCGGGGGAGATTCCAGCTCCTTTAAAATGAACAAGCGTAATTTGTGATCCTGCGCGTGGGAACGTGACCGTCACCCCTCGTGGGGGGGGGGCTTTTTTAATGAATTACCGGCTTTAACAGGTAATAAAAGCCAGGATCCAGCCTCGTGGGCCACTTTCCCACGATGGGACCTCTGTTTTCTCCCTCAGG